ACTCCTTCCAGGCATCTGGGGATCAGCTTGGTGTTTGGAGCATAATAGAGTGGAGGGAACAGGCTGTATGTGTCTAATTGTTTATTCGTGTCCAGCTCCTCTGTCCCCTTCTTCAATTAAACAGCTCCTACTCTCTACTCATGGCCAAATACCTCACCCTCTCCCCATGAGTCAGGACCCAGGAGTGGGCCTGAGGCCTGAGCTGGGTTGCCAAAATGGCCTCTTTGAGAGAAAAGTTTTGCTTCCTCTCCAGGGTTCTTAAAATGTGAAAGGGTAGGGCTGCATGTGTTACATCTATCTCCACGTTAGGAAAAACATGCAAAGTAAAATAGATGTGTGTGCGTGTGAGAAAGAGAGAGACAGAGACAGAGACAAAGAGACAGAGACAGCACCTGAGTTCCTGGATCTCATTATCCCCTGGCAAGCTCTACTTCTGTCTTCTCCAGTTATGTGACCCTAACAATCCTCCTTTTTTCTTGTTCTTTCTTTTATTTTTTTTTCTTAAGTGTGTTAGAGTTGGGTAGCTGACACTAGCAACCAGAGTTCTAATGAACAGAAAATTTGAGGACACACATACCTGGGTTTGGAGTCTGGCTCTTTGATTTGCTAAATTTACTAGCTAAATATCGTTGAGTAAGTTACATATCTGTGATTCCGATTTATGATAAATACAATTTAGGACACTCATAACTTTTTGAAGACTAAAGAGGAAGAACATGGTGCCTGATATTTGTGGGGTTTTTAAATTTATTTTCTGTTTCTCTTCTCTCTCTTTTGGATGCATATAATTCAAGAATGGCAGGAAGTAAGAAAGCCACTGACCCTGATCCCTTCTTGTTGGCTTTTCACAAGTGAAATTTACTTGCCCATTTATGGAGTTGATCCAACCCTTTCTATATTTTCAACATAATCCTCAACTACGGTAAGGCAAGCTCTTACAGTTTCAAAATTTTTATTATGCTACTGGATAAAGAAATGACCCAGAATTGCTTTTTATGATAGAGATGACAACTTTAGAATGTTCTAAGTTAGTTTTCCTTCATCAACTTTAAATTAAAAAAAAACAACAACAACAACATGCAGATATTAACTTGTGCTTTTCCTTCCATTTTATTTAAAAATCTGACACAAGTATGCAAAGATAGTGGTTGCTGTTTTATAGGCAATACTGCTGCAAAACCAATCGTTAAGGTTAAGAGTCAGCAGGACCCAGATTTATGTCCTGGTCTATCTGATGCAGATGTGGTCCTGCAACTTCTGCTAAGTTACAGGTGAGAATTCAATAAGACCAGGGAGATGAACAGTAAGACAAGGTCTGGCATATGGTAAGTGCTCCATAAGTTGTATGTATTAAAATTATGATTATCATTTAGATAATTAACAGTCAGTTAGAAATAGATTATAATACTTCCTGACTCTACCTTTTTGTCTTGGAAGAACCTTCAAGCTTTGCTTGCTTAAATTGTGTGGCCAAGTAAATCTTTTATTATGTCACTGTTATATCACAAAATCATGAAGAATCATCCTCAAATTTCCCCTTTTTTTAATTATGTGAGACTCCCTTTGGTTAAGTTCAATATGAATAATAAACCCTTAGAAAGAAAATGAACTTTCACTGAGAGTTCACTGCTGCCGCATACTGTGACAGGTGTACTCCCGGGCAGCAATCACAAGTTCAAATACTTAGTGAGTCAGAGTTTCCTTTCACTAACAAGGTTAGAAACAGGTCACATGCTCTGAATCAGACGATTGCTAGCTTTCAGTTTATAATTCAAAATCTGACCTTTGCTGAAAATGTTACGCAGCACCGCAATCATTTCCATCATTTATCAATATGAAGGGAGATTAGGAATAACTTCTTTGGATTTTGGAGCCCAACAGTTCTGGGACTAAACTCATAAAAGCTATTTAAAGGAGGCTGAAGATAAGTAATTAATGACTATTTCTACCTTTCTTTAAACATAAACTATATTTATTCCCCAGATGTAATGGTACTATTTCATGCAAGAAAATTTTGAAATAGAAATTGAAAAACAGACAGCCAAAAAAAGAAAAACTAAATCGCAGGAAGAACCGTAAAAACAAAACAAAACAAAACAAAACAAAACAAAAAAACCTTACTGAGCTTTTTTTTTTTTCCTGTATGACTTTGTGCAGAGTGTACCATCTAGTGGGAATTCTTAAAAAATGCAATCTTATTGCCACTGCTCAAAATGTTAAAGATCTACAGACTATTTTTCTTCTTGCTATAGTTTTGACAATCTATACAAGAAGATTCTTATACAAAGTGTAAGGGGCTGGTTTGTTCTATTTAATAGATATGTCAACATAATTTTAAAGAAAATCAGAATAGTAGATATGATAATGATACTAGCACTTTAATGTATATATATGCACACACCTATGTAGATATTTAGGCATATGATGTGTATGTGTGTGTATATATATAGCAATATCCTTTACCTATTGAGTACTGATCTTAAAAAGAAGTCTCAGAAGGATCTACAGTTTGTGAAAGGTTAGAAAGCTAGCAAGTTCAGATATATACTTCTGATATAAACGATTTCCAAAATTATGGTACTTAATATATATAATTACCAAACAAAAGATTAAACCTCGACTCAAACTCCTCAAACCTTAGCAGCACTGAAAATTAAGAAGATCCACCAATATTGTAACTGTGAGAAGACCTACATAACACAAATCACAAAAATATTGCGATATATAATATATAATAATTTGTAAAACAGCTTGCTTTATTATTAAAGAATATTCTGTCTGTGGAACTCCAATTGTACAAATGTTCCAACTGATACTTTTATGAATCTGGAGAGGTGGTGTATAATTTTATTGAGGAATGCTGTTTTGTGCCCATTAGACATTTATAACACATTTTAATAAAATAACTTCTTTGTTCAAAGGAATTGAATTATTCATTATTTGCTGAGTTCTTTCCTGTTGGAGTTTCTCACAAAGCAACCCCTGACTGTTTGACTTTCTAAATAGCCTAAGTGATTCCAAACTCTCTTTTGCAAAGAGAAATAGATGTTAGAACTGAATCTCAATAAAGAAATGCTTGTTTTCTCCCACACTCACACACTTCAAAAGACTAGTCCAAACCACAGACCAAGAATTTAAATTGTTTCTTTGAATGGTAGATTGCCCTTTTTCCTTCAGTGGCTCTATGTCCACACTGCCAAGCACACATGCATGCACATGCACACGCACACACAGACACTTCCTATAAACCAAAGATCTGCTATAAGCAATAAGGTTTTGCTTGTGAGAAAAATTAGAGACACAGAACAAGACTTTTCTTTTTCACAGCCTACACTTGAACACCTAACCCATGGTTATGTATGATGCTTTTCTTCCCAGGGACATGTCCCATTAGTGATGCTTAATGTACAAATTAAAAAAACAAAAAACAAAAAAAACAAAAAAAAACGATCCCTGGTAATGAATGAGTTTCTTCAATATTGCTCTTGCATAATATATTCATTTCAGTATAAGCCTCATTATGACCTGGGTTTGATTTCTTTTACGAAATAAGAGCATTGGATAAAAACATTTCTAATGTGCCGGAAGCTTAGAATTTCTGTTATTTTAAGTCACTAAAGTCTGGGATACCATGCTTCAATATTAGTGTTTTATTTTTCTTTTGAACTTCTGTTGTTTGGGGAGACAATATAGCTCAAAATAGTCTTTTATTTTAAATAAAACACAATTATGACAAGGCCTTTTTAACTTCTTGACTACGTTTCTCCTATTCGAAATGAAAAACTGCATCTACACTGCTGACTGAAATATTTTCAAATAAATTGAATTAGAGTAGTGGTGAACAATTTAATTATTAATTAATTAGCAAATTAGGATATAGCCAATTCATTCTCTTCCTCTGGCCCCATGCCCAGCCATCATTCAACCACACGGCAATGGCCACCACAGAGGTTGTCCAATCACTTCTCCAACCAATTCTAGAAGTTCAGCCCCATTTAAACCCATTGCTCTTAAAAATCCCTCATCACTCCAGCTTGCACTTGACATCTCCATTTCATTATTTAATAAGCTTCTCCACCTTCAACTCTCAAAAACAACATGATTCAGACTACATTCCTCCTCCCCAAGCATTCTTTAATTTTTCCCACAAAAATTCTAATAAAATTATGAAAACTCACACTATTCTTCTTGAACTCAATAACAAATGTCCAATAAATTATAAATCAAGTTTTAACAGATATCTGAAGTAAATCCTTATCTCTTTCAGAAGTTCAGTTCCTTCATGCCCTGCGACAAATTCACTAGTTTGAGTCAGCAAGTCCAGTTCCTTCTCTCTCTTCTCCCACCTACTTCTCTTCTGAATGGAATTTCCTCTCCTGATTGCTTTGTTTCTCATCCTGATACAAATCTGGACCAGTCCTTCTGGGGAGACACTCTGGATCAAGAAGTGGCAGAAATGCACACATTGCAGACATTCCTCAACTCCCTATTTTTATGACCCCCGCACCTCCCTCACCATCCTATAAACAATGCATTCTCATTTTAACAAATGCTTTCTGCCTCCAGTACAGAAAAATGAGCCCCTAGTTCATATGTGTTGTCTTAAGACATTATGTAACCTCATCTGTTATTTATGAACAGTAACTGCCCAGATAATAGTTCCCATAATTTCAAAAGACTACCAAAGATTAGGAATGCCTACTTATGTTATATCCAAAATACCCAAAAGGGATATAAAAATTATATATATGCAATTTATTTTTTTAATCTGAAAACTAGAAAAGCAGAAATATAAGTTAATAAACATCCACAAAACTTCACCTAAACATACAATAAGCAGTTATAACCCTGTTACACAGATGGTTCTAACCTAACAGTATCTAATTATTCTCTTTAGTAACACTTCTTCTGGGAAAAATCAGAAAAAACATTTAAGACGGCTAAAATGCAATCACGATTTGAAGGCAGAACTACTAGATAGAAAATATATAGTCACTTACCGGTGTGCACCTAAATTATTAAGGTGAAGTCTATATTTTTCTTCAGGAGATAACCCATCCATCAACAAGTAGAAAATGTGAAAATTGCTGTGGCCAAGAGGTTGTGAAACAAGTCTGGATTTCTCTAGCATATAAGTGTAAATTCTGGCTGGTTAAGAAAAAAAAATGTAATTCTGTTAAATGACATTATTAGTTTATTTCCATAAATGTACACATATTAATTAATTGCAAGGATAATAATGTAACTTCTTTTTAAACATAATTAAACAAAATTAATAGTCATTTTTGGAGTGATTTTTAGGTCCAGAAAAATTAAGCAGAAGATACTGAGAGTTCCACCATACCCTTTCTCTCCCCTCTTCAGCACACTATTTTTTAAATTAGTGTAGTATATCAGAGATAAACCAATATTGACACATTATTATTGACTAATGATCATGATATACATTGGTGGTCACTCTTTGTGTCAGACAGTTCTATGGGTTTTAAGAAATTCATGATATCATGTATCCACCATTACAGTATCAAACAGAATAGCTTCACTGCCCCAAATATCTCCTGTGCTCCACCTATTCATCCCTCCCACTCCCTGACCTCTGGCCACCACTGATCTTTTTTACTGTTTTCATAGTTACACCTTCTCCAAAATGTCACGTAGTCGCATTTTTAAAAGAAATAGAACAAAAAATCATCAGATTTGTATGGAAGCACAAAAGACCCTGAATTGCCAGAGTCATACTGAGAAAAAAAAATAAGGCTGGAGGCATCACTCGGCCCGACTTCAAATTATACTACAAAGCAACAGTAATCAAAACGGTATGGTATTGGCAGCAAAACAGACACACAGACCTGTGCAACAGAATCAAGAGTCCAGAAGTAAACCCATATTTATATGGGCAAATAATTTTCGACAAAGAAGTCAAAAACATACAATGGAGAAAGGAAAGCCTTTTCAATAAATGGTACTGGGAAAATTGGAAAGCTACCTGTAAAAGAATGAAACTAAACTGTTGTCTATCTCCGCACATCAAAATTAACTCAGAATGGATTAAAGACCTGAATATAAGACCTGAAACAATAAAATGCATAGAAGAAAACATAGGAACGAAACTGAAGAACCTTGGACTTAAAGAAGATTTTATAAATTTGACCTCAAAGGCAAGGGAAGTAAAAGCTAAGTTAAATGAATGGGACTACATCAAACTAAAAAGCTTCTGCTCAGCAAAAGAAATCGTCAACAAGGTGAAGAGACAACCATCCAAATGGGAAAATATATTTGCAAACAACACTTCCGATAAGGGCCTACTATCCAAAATATATAAAGAATTCATACAATTCAATAACAACAACATGATCCAATCAAAATATGGGCAGAGGACCTGAACAGACACTTCTCCCAAGAAGACATACAAATGGCCAACAAACATGAAAAGATTCTAAACATGTT